AATCAGTCACAAGAACGTCGAATCTGAATCACTTGAAAAAACACGGGGGTGCTTAACTTTTTTCCAGGTGTATATATTAAATATAACCTAACAACATTCAAACTAGATAGCAAATATACAATTACGATTGACAAAAACATACACTATCATGGAAAAGAGAATCCATTGGTATAAATTTTACTGATGTACTTTAAATAAATCAATTTACTTTATTCTTTTTTAAACTTACAAGGATACTTTAACTTGTTTATATGTAACTGTTTGATTCTACAGAATATAAAACCACTTAAAATCATTTCTCTTACGTTCCACCAAATATGTCTTCAGCTTGCTGACCAATTCGTTCAAGATTTATACCTTATGAGGAAAGAGACAGTGACGGTTATCAGAATTACAGTAAGTATGCATATTCTTAATAAAAATTCTAAATGTCACACATGTTCAAATTAATATAACAAAACAAGGAAATACTGAAAACTTTTAAATTCTACCTTGTCTGGCGCAGCACATTTAAGAACAGTTTTCATTTCTCCAGTCATTTGCCAATAATCAAAAACTAGCATCCTGACAATAAAGGCTAGGCTTAGAAAGACATTTATGATAAAGATAAACAATTTTTTATGCAACGACACACATCTCTTTCTAAAAACTGTCTCTGTGAAATCATTAATTTTACTTTCAATAAGGGTGTTAAAAGATACTTTCCTAAATCTTATTGCAAATGTTTATGTACATTTTGTCTTACACAATCATATTGTTTTGATTTTTAACTAGTTTAAATAGTATTTTTTTAACAACGTAAATAAAATGATCACCACCAAGATTTTCTTCTTTACACTTTGCTGTTATCTTTTTTTTCTCATCAACTACCTATGAACAGATTGTTTTGTTAACTTATTTTTTAGTCTCTTTTATAAAGATTACTAGTGTATAGCCCATCAAAAATAATGGGGCAAGTACTACCACCTCCACCCCATAGTATACCTTAACCTCATATTTAATAGCTAATTGAAATAAATAAATTTTGTGGAATCAGGTTTGACCAACATCAGTAAATTCCTTTGTGAGCCAATAAAATTAAGATCATTCCTGAAATGAATTAATGGCATATTCATAGAATAATTACTAGTAAAAATCAGTTAAATTAACAACTTCTAATATATAGAAGAGCCAGTGCATTTTGGTAACACTACATTCCAGCAATAGCTTTTATTTCATGTTGCTTAGCAACAAAAGTATAACCTAATACTGTTGTTAGTCTATGTACTGAAAATATAAAATGAAATGTATAGACAACAAAATTGGAAAAATATTTATTGATTTCTTAATTTAGAGTCTCCGTTGATTAAAGAAAAATACTGGTGATATAACAGGAAAGCACTTAATTCAGAAATGGTTCAAGTTTAAAACTGAATCAATATTTTTACTTTAGCTCTATACACTTGGCTCTAGGCTAGGTGATCCCACACCATGTCTTTACTTATTATACCAACACTCACTACACTTATAAGGTTTCATGACACCTCACTCTACCACCATGGCCCCATCACTACAATCGTAATGGGCAGACATTAATCGGACTATTCTATTCATATAAATGCATTTTGTCTTTTATGACTCCTCATACTTCGAGAACTGAAGCGTGATATGACACACATTGGTTTTTATATAGGTTGGATTTCACACCATTAGCTTTATGGATTTAGGACTAACCTAAATCTGCTAAGCTGTCCGAGCATTGTATAACTTTTACCATGGCTTAAATAAGTATAACTTTCACCTCAGTGCAAACACATAGCATTAGTTTGAATATTTATTATATCTATTTTTACTTATTAGTCTTTATTATTGCAAATTTTATTTTTACGTTTATTATCTTACTATAATGATTCTTCTTCGTACTTATTTCAAATCGTTCATTTTATTTTTTATTATAACAACTATTTCACATTATTACCTTACTCTATAGACTTAGGACTAACAAAAACCTACAAAGCTGGCAGAACCGAGTACAACTTTTAACATCGTGTTGTAGTTCTTACATGGATACAGTGTTGGTTAGAATACTTAATATATCTAATTTTACTTATTAATTTTTATGTTTCTAAATTGTACTTTTATGTAATTTTTTATTACAGTGATTATTGTACATTGTACTCATTTTGATTTTATTATAATGATTATTTTGCATTGTTAGCTTAATATATGGATTTAAGATTTATGGCTTTACAGACAAAAATATTATTAATATTTAGGGTACCCAACTGATGAAACAGCACATTTTAATCATGTGAAGTAGTTTGAATATTATATTTAATTAGCTATGCTCATATTTTTAGTTCTCATCTACGTAGGTAGTTTGCATTAATCAAAAGTTACTATTAGTTTAAAACTAAGATAACTTAATTAAGTCAAGCTAAATTAAAAATATGAATAAGAAAGTGCAAGATATGAAAAATTTAAATGTAAAACTCACTATAATCGCAGATTTTGTCTAGACTGATCTTTATAATAACCCACACAAACCTTTTTCACCAATAGTGACAGTCTCATCAGTAGCTTGTTGTCCATGGCTTTCGTCAAACTCACGTTTAAAAATTGAGAGCAAGCCAGTGATTCTGTAGTCAAGCCTGACATTAAGAATGAACTAGAAAAAAAAACACACAAGAACTTATGGTGCAATGATCTTAACATAGTTCCTAGTTTCTATGTATCTCACAAATAGTTATCTTTAGAAGTGATTAAATGTAGGAAAAAACAATATCTGACATTAAAACACAAATAGAACATTTATTAATCAACATAAACCTACTTTGTTAATTGACTTTTATAAATAGCTACATCACTTTAATATATGAGCTTCCTAATACCACTTCTTGTACTTGTATGTATTATAAAATATAGCCCAAGATTGTAAGTCAATTTTGTTTTATATTTCAGATTAGAAATATTTAAAGAAAAGTTTCTTTTGCCTAAGTTTGATAAGCATGTCTTGGTCAGGAAATGGTGGTACCGTCATTAATCATGTAGAAATATTAAGTATGACACAAAAAATTATATATGTTAAGTATGACACAAAAAATTATATATGTTAACGATCCAACAAAAAATATCAGCCTAGAACTTTGTGTCCTTCATGTTAAGTCATTTTGCTTTCAAAACTGAATGTTCAACTTGTAGATGCAAAGTAACAGTGACATGTAATTTCAGACAGTCTGTGAAGCAGGTAAATGATATTTAAATTTCTTATAAAAACCAGATATAACATCAAATAAAATTAAAAAAAACCACAGGACTACATTTACCAATGCACTTTGATAAAAATCTTAATAAACACAAATTACCAAGTTAGTAGGATGTTTTTAATAAATATCTTTCCACAAATGTTGTTTGCTGGGTAAGTAAGTGAAAATAAATGTAATTTTAAATATTCAGCATATTTATGGCTCAGTAAACTATAGCCACTAACTTGTATAATATATATATATATATAAACAAACAGTCAACAAAATTTACCTGAAGTATTTCTATAATTTTCAGCTTGGTGTCCATGACAAGTGTGTCCTCTGCTCCACTAAGCGACCCCTTCTTCTCCATGCCACTTGCCAATGGTTTGTTCATACCAGCTGTCCCAAGAACTACATTGGTCACTACTGCACCCATGTCACCTATAGACTTCAAAACACCACCTTGTCCTGTAGAAAATGAAATGAGTTACTACATCTATAATTAAATGATGGTAATAAATCTAAATATTTGTCTGGTTTCAAAAGAAATAAAGTTAAATATTAACACTTATAAGCAGTCAAAATCATGTCCAATATCAAAGTATTTACCCGTAAATAAAGCATTTTCTATAGTTGAAGAGAGATCATATCACACAATGCCTTATGTTTGTGTTTTATTCAATATAGGTAAAGAATCCTTGTTAAGCTATTAAAGAACTTAACCGCTAACAAGTTATACACATCAATTACACCCACAGGATGCTCACTTTTGCTCTGAGGATCCCGAACCTCCTTCAGTAAAGCTTATTACATTAATCTTCGAGTAATTCATGAATATCATTAAATAGCTCTTGATAAAAGTTGCTTTACATGTTCAACGAGATAACGGGTAAAGCACATAACAATGCCTTATTTATAAGGTGAATTAATAATTATTCTACAAGTTGCTTTTGCAAAAAATCTGGATTTGAGGTTAGAATTTCCAAGTTTACTATGGCAAACTGTGGTATGTTCATGGATTAGTATATTACAGTTTAATATAACTTTGAAAATCATTGTACCTTCCAGCTGCCCAGATGGAAGTTTACCATTGATGAAAGCCGACTCTGGAACACAATCCAGTATACTAAGAAGAGTTTTTGTTAGGCGAAGTAAATCACTAAAACTGTAGAATCCAAAGTAGATTAACTCCCTTGCTAGTTTCACAACCTAGAGAAAATATAACCCTTAATGAAATTTCATAATTAAAGATCAATAATATGTATGATAACTTATGGTAAACTGGTTAGTAAAAGTTTCATACTGTCTCATAATATAACCAAAGCAAAATATTTTGATGATTTTCAACTTATAAATTAACTTCACACACTGTTTAGAAATAGTACTTGCTAATAATAATAGTACATAAATGAAGTCAAAAAATGGGAACAAAAACTAGCCAAGAAAAAAACATCTTTCTTTGTAAATTTTCAGGTGCAGCATTGATAGGTCTTAGCCACAGCAACCTTCACCAAAAAAAATCTTAAGAAAGCATTAAAACTTAATAACCCAGAAGAGCTTATTTAACACAACATATTCTACAAGCTATAAATATTACTCTGAAATGAAAATAACTGGGTCTACAAAATGTTCATCAGAGCAAAGAATCAGCAAAATACAAGTCTTCCACATGTACTCTTAGGATTTTCTGTTACGTATGTTATAAATGAAAAACGTACTTCAAAAGTGAGTTTGTTTTGCTCCCTGTCTGCAAATGACCACATATGGCCAACTACGTTACAAAGATAATCTTCAACAAAGGTGATAGTGGCCAGAAACTTTTGTCGCACATCTTCCTTGTTGGAATCTGGCTGCTTATTACAATCATAGCTACAAAATATTGAAAACTATTTTAATAGAAAGTCCTAGAAAAGTTATAATAAATAATAACAAAATTTTTTTAAAAACAATAAATGTTAAAAAAATATTTTACATGAGAAAAAAATAACATGCTTTTGATGTAACAAAAAAAGAAAATGAGAAAGAACAATTATAAACAGTAAATATACAGAATAACTGCTATATACAGTAGATTCCAAATCAAATTTTATATATACAAATATGGCATGTAAGCTATTAGTGAATTATTACTATAAACTATTTTGTTGTATGACATAACTGTGATACTCTATACATTACCAAATGTACGTTAAAAACGTATGTAACAAGTCAATCTAATTTTGATTATTATTCCTGAATTTCTTAGCATTACTGTTTTTTTGTTTTTTTTATACTGTTTCAAAACTGATATAAAAATAAGTCAAACATACTCTTGTATGGACAACTTGCGAGGGATATCGGACCACAAACGAGCATACTTCACAGGAGTTATCTGTTCCTGTGGGTCCCGATCAACATGCATGTGAAGCATCAGTCGACAGAAAGCTGCTCGTAGGTCAAAAGGCAATGCCTCATCAGCCATACACCTAAAAATGAACACATCTTTTTACACTATAAAACAAGTACTTTACTATAATCTCACCATTTCATTCATTAAAATTTCCAATGTTATTCTGTTCAATATCAAATGCCAAGAAACTTATTAACCATTTCGCAACAAGAGCCCCTTTATATACTTTTCTACATAAGATATTGTGTTACATTCAAACTTTAATTAAACACCTTTAATATCAATGCATGAGAATAAAATTAATATTAGATATGAGGATTCGAACCCGTGACCCGCAGATTGCGAGTTGAGCACCCTAACCACCTGGCCATGCCGGGCTGTGATACTTATGATCTCTAACAAAATCTTACTAGTTTTCAAAGAAGATATGTTAAAAAATCTTAGAGTTACTGCATGTATTATTGTACAAGTGAAATTCGTAAATCAAATTCCATAAATTGCATGAGCCTGCTGTGAAAGGGTTAAGTAAAATAAAAAAACAATTTTTTGCTCTTAGTTTTTTAGAGTTCCACTGGTATTATACTATTTATTAATATAAAGTATTTGAAATTAATAAGACATCTACCTGGAAATTACCACATACTAAATACAACATCAGTCTGTATACGTTTCTGTAATTTATAGGAATTTGTAGTATTCAAATTAAATATTTCAACATGTATTTTAGTTCTTCATAGTACTAGCAAGATTAATATATATAACATTAAATTCTTTAATAGTAATAACTAACTACATTGACCAAATGTGATAGGAAAGGTACATGAAGCTTTACATGTGACAATACTGCTTCAGTGCTGGATCACAATGCTCAGTAGGCCCTATCACGTCAGGTGTTCTTGTGTTAATAGCTGAAACATCACTAGTAGATAGTTTACCCAACTAATTAGTTGGAGCAGGGTGGTCATAGAAGCTTTTGGTAGTTTTCCTGTTGCTCATAATTAAAACTATTGATTATTAATTGTAATTATTATTGAATAATTTTAGCAGTTCTTCTAGTAGAAATTATTAGTTAATTTGTATAAGGTCTGTTTCCAGGTGATCTGACAAGAGGTTGATACAAGACAGTGTTTACTAGGACAATACATACATCCTATACTACTTACTTCTGTATAAGATCTGCGTCTAGGTGAGCTGACAAGTTGTTGATGGCAAGATACTGTCTATCTAGACACATTCCAGAAAATAAATCAAGCTGGTGTCTACAAGTTTGGATGAGAAATAGATAATGTGATATCAAACAAATATTAATGCAATCATATCATGATGATTTAAAGTTAAACATGTTTAAAAAAATCACTGGCATGAAGTACACAATCAATACCTATAACATACAAGTTATACAAACATTACATCTCTACTTAGTTTCTTAAGGATCTATTTCAATTGAAATCTTTAACAACTCCTCACTTTTACTATTAACAATATAACAGTCAAGTTGGCAATTTAACTTTAGAAACTGTTCACTCTGAACAAACAAAGGTGAAATGGCTGCAACCATCTAACTCAGAGTGACACTTGAACAAACAAAGGTGAAATGGGCTGCAACCATCTAACTCAGAGTGACACTTGAACAAACAAAGGTGAAATGGCTGCAACCATCTAACTCAGAGTGACACTTGAACAAACAAAGGTGAAATGGGCTGCAACCATCTAACTCAGAGTGACACTTGAACAAACAAAGGTGAAATGGCTGCAACCATCTAACTCAGAGTGACACTTGAACAAACAAAGGTGAAATGGGCTGCAACCATCTAACTCAGAGTGACACTTGACAAAAGGTGAAATGGCTGCAACCATCTAACTCAGAGTGACTCTTGTACTGAAACTCTTGAAGAGCTAATCTACAAAGTAGCTCTGGTAGAAAAGATAATGTTTTAGAAACCTTTCATCTTTCGTTTTTTGGGTCAGCCACACTGGTTTTGCTAGGGTTTATATTTTATCCAGGAGGAAAGAAGGGGAAGTGATGCAACTGGTTGATGGTTCTTGTGATATGGCTGGTGGAGCAAATGATTCTTGGTTTGTTTTTTATATTTTAATAACTTATGTGAGTGAATGGGTCTATCATATTAGGAAACAAGAAAAATCAAATAATCTTCTTACATAGAGACTTGGGCCTGGAAAAAACCAAAAGAACCACCAGTATATCATGTCACATCAATTCTCCCTGATATACTACAAACCCAGTTCCAGCTGACCTGAAGAGAATATACAGAAGGTTTTCAAACTTTCATCCTTTTACCTGAGCTACTTTGTAGATTAATCTTACAGAAAATTCTGTACAAGTGCCAAGCTGAAAATAAACCCATTTGCTTTAAACACGTCTATTGTACTACGTATGTACTGATATTCTCTATATTTTTACATCCTTTGTCTAATATGTAAAAATAAAATTGTATGCGATTGCTCACTGTTTTTTTTTTATCAATAACTGTTTTTAATGTTGTCACATCTATCTACATGCAACAAATCTCCTAAAACAAACTTGACTTGTATTATTTTAAACTCTTGTCTTACAAAACTATTATGTATCATTTATGACTTAATTCACTTTTTAAATCATGTAATGCTTATTTTAGTGCACCTGTAATAGTCCAAAGTGCTTATATCATCTGTATTTCCTTCTGCTGCACGAGAAGCTAGTTCCCTGATACTTTTGCTTCTGTTTCCACCATCCCAAAACAAGACAATGTCTTCTTCTTCTTCTACTGTTATCATTGGTTCCACTTGTCCTTCTGAGCTTTCAACCTCAACTTCTACCTCAACTTGAGTTCTGACCATGCTGGAAGTAGAAAGTTTAACAAGATGTACAATATTAAGTGAAGTCTATTTTTTCTGTTCTACTCTTAAAAACTCAGAAATTGTTTTGCTTTTATTGCTATACAATTTCTTAAGAATCAAATAACATCCTTGATATGAGTAATTACATGGATTAGTACACTTACCTCTCATTGGTAACATGTGAATAATGTCAGAAAAGTTTGAGAAATAACATTTATAACTAAAATCTGAGTTATGTAACTTTGTTTTTTTTAATTCAGAAAAATTATTTCTCTAAAAATGAAACACATCAACAACACTAATCTTGGCGTATAAGACTATTTTTTTACTGTTTAATGCAAGCAGCATCTTTGTGAACATAGATTATCCACTCATTAGTTAACATTATCTGAAGAAAGTGATATGCCTAAACCCAAAGCATCCTCTTATTAAATACCACAATTTTTTTCGATGATTATGCTTAATAAAATAATTTTTCTTTTAACCAACAAAAGAAAAAAATTAAATTTAAATACACTTGTCTCTAAGAATCTATAGGTGCTGTAACAATGGTTGACTCCTAAAGTGTACACTTTACTCTTGTGAGACCAATACAGCAAGATTTGTTCCTTAAATGTGTAAATGATTTTATATTATTGAAATAATGTTCATACAAATAGTTTGTTGAAATATGTTGTGCCTTAGAAAGTATATTTCACTGCAAAAATAGGAACATTTTATATTAGCATAACGTTTAGTACCTTAAAGCAAATATCTTCAAGAAATTTTCTGGCTTTCATGAGGTTATGTTAATCCTGTGTTACATTTATTAAACACACAATGCATATACATCACATACACTTTGCTTGTAGCTATATTCTTAATACTAATTACTTTACTTGTGCTGCCACCTGGTTAATGGGACTTCTGTACTTATTTCAGGAAGGATTTATTTACACTGTTCTTATACATTTTGCTTTAAGTTGCAATCAACATGCCTTTTATATCTTAATTCTGGGAGTACGTGACCAAACTGATCTATAAACCATTAAAAGCTTTAAATGTATCGTGTGAAAGATGTATACATTTTTTAAGTCTTTAATTATTACTTTACAATGTATGCTATTCTATTTCTATATAAAAAAAATTTTCTCATAAACTTTCCAGAATTAAAATTGTTCTCAGAAATAGTATTTCTGATAAAGAATTATTTAGTATTAATAACAAAGGAGATGTGCATGTAAAATATTTTAAATTTTAACTTAATACCAGAAACTTTTATATATTATAGCTTGATTTCCATGATGCACAAAGAAACAATTATTAGTAGATAATTTTTATCATCTGGCAAATTCAAGACAATTCCATCAATTATTATTACTACTTATCTCACAGATAAGCTGCAAAAATGTTAATTAATTAATTTAAAACTAAACAACAGAGTTATTGGCATATGTTACTACACATAATTCTTGTGTGCATTCAAAGTTCTCCATTAAATTGTACATACCGTGTTTCAATGAGAATGTCAGAGTTCTTGGGACTGAGAACCGCTTTACAGATGAGTTCTTGTGTTGTAGGAATAGCCACTTTGTTAGATATACACAAGTCAGACAGATACACCAGAAATCTAATAAAGACAAGTTAAGTATTAGTCAACAACCTTAGACAAACCAAATTATGCAGAATAAGTCCCACAACACAAAAGCAATTCTTTATTCAAAAAAATAAAAATTCAGAGAAAAAATGTATAAAAATTACATAATTATAGAGTAAGAGAAAACTAATCAGGCTAGAACATGTTGGTATCTAGCTTACCCTGTTAATCTCTCTAATCAAACATCAAAAACCAAAAAACATATGTATATATTGAAAAATAACAGGAGCCTCATTATATGATCATAACATAATGCAATAACAGGGATTTTTAGTACAAGGATATAACATAGTAACTCAGCTTTCAAAGAATTTAAAACTGGTTTAGTATAGTAACATATTAACTCTAAGACACTCAGGTGTGTCAATTCAGCACATCTGTTGTATGGTTTGTTTTACTGCATTGTGATAAGAAACTAAATAAAATAGATTGAAACTTCAGAATTACTTTCTACGCATTACGCAGCTCTGTGAGTATCTTATTTTTATTTTTCAACATTACAATTTATATGAAGAACATGATAAAACGTGATAAAAACTAATAAACATTCAAATGAATAGCAAAAAAAAAAAAAGAAAAAAAAGACTACGAGTTTTAGAAGCTGAGATATAAGCAATAATATCACACCATAACGATCAAGGTTGAGAAAGCGACTGGCTATTAACTGATAAAAACTACATTTTTATTAAAATTAAAAGGATGAATTAGCACTAGTTTTATCAAAACTATTTGGACTTTCATCCTAGGGGACTAGGTACCATAATATACTCAGCTAATTGATAGCTAATGATTTTGTTGCGAGCGTGCTGAAACCAATCCCAAAAAAATTATTTTTTAAGTAAATAAATAAAGCTTTATTTATCCAATAATTTTAAATCTGAAGTTTTTCTGCAATATCTGGAAAAACAACTTCAAATTTTATAAAACAATAGGGGCAATTTTGACCTCATAGCTGACTGCACCCATCTCGAAGTCTCATCATGATTTGAAATGTTAAAACTTCTTATTGAGCAATCTTAATTTATCAGAGTTACAAAATTCTTAGCCTTATTAACTTTTAGGAATTTGAAGTAATTAACATTTCTAGAGAGTAAACTTTAGATCTGCATATGATTTTTAGATTGAAATCTTTAAACTTAGTAAAACATATTAGTCTAAAAATTAATCACAATCATATGGAAATATCAATCTTTATGCCAGACTAAAATAAATCATTTTCATTTATATCTTTTAGTGAGAATTTCTCATTTAATAAATAACTTTGGAGTCATCCAATTGAATAATGCTAAACGATAATGTTTACCATATCAAATAATTGTCTTTCACAAAAACAGTAACAAGATTTTGTTTTTTTATAATGATGAAAAACATAGAAAAACTTAAGCAAATGTTTGCATACCGACTTTCCATGTTTTTTCGCACAAGACTAACAAAAGTTTCAATTTCTGCAGCAGTGATATGCTTCTCTAACAGTTTACGGTTGCTGTGTAACAAGGCAGTGATTGTATCCTCAGCAAGGACATCATAACCAATTTGTTTCTGCATAAAACCAAACCACTTGGCAATGTACTCCTGAATAAAAAAAAGCAAATACAAATATAAACAAATTCTAGTGTTTATTTAAACACATATAAGTAGGAAAAAATAAGCATTTCAAGGTGAGAAAGAAAACAAAAATATATAATGGTTTGAATAACAAATAACAAGTTTGTGTATTATGCAGAAATGCACACAAAAAGTAGAATGTGATAAAAAGAAATTGAACAAAAATCAATTTTTAAAATACTCCAACTATTCTTTGAAAAGATTTTGTTAACGTTTAAGAAATCTAAAGAATCAAATCAAATGTCACCTGACCCCTTGTACCACATGATCTTTGCCTTCCGTGTTAATGAATAAACGTCTGTCTGAATGACTATCACATCTGTTACATGTAGGATATGAAGTTTTGAATAGCATAATTTTGTTACAAGAATACTTTTATTGTAAAAAATCAGCCACAAAAATATAGATTATTTTCATCATTGATAGAATTTACATAATTATTGTCACTCAAGCACAATACTTGTCAAACAAATCTGCAACGAAATGTTATTACTAAATCTTCATAAGAAACACAAGCATTGAATGATTTAAAATTATAAATTTTCTTGGCCAAGGATTCTTTACTAGGTAAAGAAAATTAACTTTAATTTTACCAACTTCATCTCTAGTACAATCTTTATTAATCTGAAAATAGTAGGACTAACTCACTTGGTTTTTTCTATAGTCTTGTTGTGATAGACGTAAAATTCTATAACACAAACGACAGATGTGTTTAAAAGGTGCATGACGAGGATCATTCAACTCTTCAATCTTCAGCATTGGACCATCTCCAGAATCAGTGAAAGGAGCTTGAAGAATCTTAAATAACTAGTAACAACAATAAAATTTTTAGATTATCAAACATTCATAGTATTAAATACCTTTTAAAAACCATTTCTGTACAAAATGCACTACCATGTTTTGACAGGAAATGTTGTGAATGAACACCATTACTTTCACTGTAAAATTTATATTCTACTTTGTAAAACTGACTTTTAAAGAAGAAAGTTTAGATAAAGCTACAATAAACATCTAAAGGGTCTTAAACACATGCACGTGTTCACCTTCCAGAAAATCTGTACAGGAACTTATTTCATTCGTATTACAAATACAGTTATTTTTGTAAGTCAAAAAAGTATTATAAAAATTTGTAAAAAATAGTATCATCAAAACTGGTGATATAAACAGAGATAAAACAATAAACAAAAAATTATCTGTTAATTATTCAGAAAATTATTATACGGTCTTAAAATTAAATTAATATTTGAATTTCATTACACATACACACACACACACATGGTCAAACTGCTAAAATAATGAAAATCTATACAATACTTTGATTTTTTAATAAGAATAAATCAAAACTTTTTGGGGAACATGGGTGTTCATGTCACCCCAAGTGTACATAATAATTACTTTTAAAAACGTAATAAAAAAATATAATTCTGTTTCTACTTCAACATTTTCTATTCATTTCATTTACTTAATTAAGAAAAATTCAAAAAATGTTTAAACATTCACCTCTCTCATATCTACAGTTGTCTGAACCTTTAACATTATCTTTGAATATTTTTTTTCACTTCTAAACTAGTATTTACTTCTCCCAAATAAATTTAAGCTTTTTTTTTTCTATTAACATGAGATTTTATGATTCTGTGTCCTCAATTTGTCGAAATATGAATTTAAAGTACTGTTCACGGAAGTCTTAAGAAACTTGAATGGCTATTAGCTTTGAAAAAGGATTTAACCTAAAGCTAATAATAACAATCTGAAAGAAAAAATTGTAACCTTTACTGTTCTTTAGTCAAGAATACAATACTGTGTGGATATAGAGTCAATAGAGTTGACAAAGAGTTGGAGTCAATAGAAATAAAACAACCTTATGAGGAAGTGTAAAAATGTAGGAGTTTAAATATATTTTTTTCTAGTTTCTGAAAAAATTCTTTTCATTCCTGTTAATACTATGTTACATATATTATGATTACTTGGAAAATAAGGGAATATTCTATCACTAAAAGATAAGGTAAGGATATTCAGGTTTAGCAAGTATGGCAAGTTGGCCTGTGATGGCAAATACATTCGAATTACAAAAGTCCCTTTAATTGAATACTTATATTATCAAGTGTATTGCATTCAAACAAGAAGTTGTTACTTATTAAAAATAAACTATAATTATCAGATATAAATTGATCTCAAATACTGTTGGAGAAGTATCATTCCACGAGGCTTCAAAAAGGTGATACTATTTTGAAAGGTGCAGTCAATGTTCACAGGTAAATATTTGTTAGCCTTGCCATGTTTTGTATGATTTATAGTAGAAAGTTGACTGTTTCAATTAAAATATTAACCTAAATATATTAATAAATATCAAACAAGTTAAAGTGACTGGACATATAAAATGGAAAGTTCTGATCACCAATAAAAAAAACTAAGGTTAAGAAAAAAGGAAGCTTTTTTTTAAATGTCACACATCAAATTTTAGATATTTTATAAACTAAAACAAATGATATAAATATTAAATCAAATTTTATAATTATTTTTATGTAGAAACTAGACACTATTTAGAAACTAAATATGTACAAAGTTTGGTGCAATTTAGTTATGTATTTTCACTGGTGTGATGTTTAGAGGGTAAAGCAAGTGCAAATATTTGCCGAGATTGTAACCTATGAATATATATATACACACACTCTATAAGATATAAACTACACAAATAAAAGGTTGGAGGCATAACAAATGCTTAATATTCCTATAAGTAGATGAAACTGGTAGATAAAATACAAAGTACAAAAAGGCAAGTCTAAGAATAGGCCTGTAATGGTTTTAGTGTCTTAAAATTTTTACATGTTTTACAGTAATTCCTGTACATTGTATCCGAAAATGATATCCATTTTTCTCCATCACGTACAGATGTTTCGCAAGACATCATATATAGTTTTACATAAGTGAATAATTTTCATTGAAATCAGGTCACATTTTGTTATGCTTAAAATGTTGACAACCACTGGCTATAGATTTCTCTAGAACAATCGCGACATGATAATCTTATTGTTCGTTCTAGAACTCAACACACCACTAGTATATAAACGGTTAACAGACCACATGACGTGCCATTTCTGGATAGTATTTGTTTGTGTGTTCCTTTTGACATTATTTTTTTTTTCAATACTGTTATATTTATGGTACATTTGTTGTAGAGAAACAAAGGCAAAACATTACAGAATTCATCAAAAAAAGCATATAATGCGTATTATGGAATAAAACTTGGAGACCAAGACAAATCATGGGCTCCGCACAAAAGTTTGCACCATTTGTGTCGAAGAGTTGAGACAATGGACTAAAGGTAAGAAAAAGTCTTTGCTTTTTGGAATTCTGATGGTCTGGCATGAGTCTAGAAACCACAAAGATGACTGCTATTCTTGCTCATGTAATCTGCAAGGCTACAACACTCGAAATAAAAAGGAAATTTCTTATCCAAACCTTCAATCTGCTATAAGACCTGTTGCTTATGGACCTGATGTGGGCAATTCCCAGCTCTTTCAGAAGCAAAACTTAAAGAAAGGATTTTTGTTGGGCCTCAGATTAGGAAATTGACTTCGAATGAACAGTTTGAAAGGACAATGAGGAAAGTTGAAAAAGAAGCACGAATTCCCTTTAAAGATGTTGTTGACAATTTTTTAGGAAACAATAAGGACCTAAATTATTAAAATATTATCAATAACATGCTCAATAAATTCAAAGAGTAGGGTTGTAATATGAGTTTGAAAGTTCATTTCTTACACTCACATATTGACTATTTCTCTGAAAATCTTGGTGCCATGAGCAAAGAACAAGGGGAAAGGTTTCATCAAGACATCAGAGAAACGGAGAGGAGGTATCAGGGAAGGTGGAACATTATAATGATGGCTAATTACTGCTTGTCACTGAAACAAGATGCTCCAGACACAATACATAAAAGAAAGACCACAACATGTAATTTTGAGACTAAAAGATGTAGATTGTACAAAAAAAATCAGGATGAATGAGGATGCATATTCATTTGACATCAATGTTCTT